CCTCGGCGCCCCGCCTCGCGCCCCCTCAAGGCACCGTCTTGACCTTTTGGGGAAGTTTCCGCCTTTTTTAGTGTCTTCATTTTTGTGTTGTTTTTGTTGTTGCCATGGTGAAGGGATTGGTGCGTTTCGTTTCTTCTTTCTGGGAGTTCGTTCCGGGTGGATAAAGAAGCCGTCGATTTTAGGGGGGGCGGGGCTGGGGGGGTTGGTTTTGTATCCTGCTACCTTGCCGGATCCGTGGGTGAAGTCTAGTCGGGTTTTTTTGTTTGTTTGTTTGGTTTTGGTGGAGTCTTTTTAGGGTTTTCTGTGTACAACGAGCAGAAATCACCTTTTTTGGAGACGGGCCATGTATTCAACGACCCTCCCTCGGGGTCTGGACCCCAACCTCCGGCCCCGGCTCCGACATCACAAACGTTCCTGGAGGTCACGTCACATTGGGGACCTCGCGCGCTCCCCATGGCAACCCCTCCCACCCCCACCTCTATGCCCCCAAGGACAGAGGCGTCGGCTCTGAGGGCATCTGCGGACCCCAACTTGGCCACACACATCCCCACCCTGTGCCCAGCGGCAGGGGGCACTTAGACGTTACCCACTTATTGGGGGACACGTGTGTGTCTTGGGGGACAGGTGTGCTGTGGGCGCAACGGGGTGGGCGCGTTTGGAGAGCGATTATACATTTCCTGGAGTTGCACCTGCTTTTTTTCTTTTTCTTTTCTTTTTTTTTATTCTGTGCATCCGAATCTTGTCATTTTATTTTCATCAGTTTTCTACTTTTATTCTTTTTAAATATATTTTTATTGATTTCAGAGAGGAAGGGAGAGGGAGCTAGAAACATCCATGATGAGAGAGAATCATGGACCGGCTGCCTCCTGCTCGCCCCCTACTGGTTGGGGATGGAGCCCACAACCCGGGCAGGTGCCCTTGACTGGGAATCGAACCCGGGACCCTTCAATCCTAGGTCAAGGCTCAACCCCTGAGCCACACCGGCTGGGCCACCGTGGGTAGTTTCATGGAGACGTTACTTAATCTAGGCCTTGTTCTGAGGACATTCCGAGTATTAAGAGTCAACCAAGGTGCCCGCTGTTACCCAGCTGGTCGCGGACAAAGGGGCAGGTTGCCCCCCAGGCCCGACCAGTGCATCCTCCTGCCTTGTCCCCAAGCCTGTGCCGTGGCTCCAACTCCTGAGCTGGCACAAATGGACAAAGGCTCCCTGAGCCAGCCTGGGCCTCTGCATCTCTTTCTGCGGCAAGGTAGAGCTTGCTGGATTTGAGTTATGAAAATTATTATTTCTCGGAGAGTAAGAGCAGGGAGCTGTTCAAGAGGCCCTGGGATCCCATAAAAACGCAAGAAGTCAGCAAGTTAAAGGCCCTCTCGGGCTCCCTTCCTCTTTCTGTTTCCTCTTACGCCTGTCGCTCAGCCTTTATAGGTTCCCGTGCCTCCAGCTGTAAAAACTGGGAAAGGACTTTCTCCCACCTCCTCTCCACGGGAACGTTTGAAGGCGAAATAGATCGGAGGAAAACACAAAACACGTCTCTCTCCATAATAATACAACCTACTTTCCAAGTTTAAAATGTTGCTTTCCATTCATTATCTCGCAGGCATCCACCCTTTCTCCCCCGACAAAGATCCCTGTTAGCGGGACAAAGCAGGGGAAGTTGTATCGCTAAGCAAACATCACGAAGTTTACCAACAGTGGGACAGACCCTTCTTCTAGGCTCTATCCCTCTCCGTCTCTGTAAAAAAATCAATAAAATATATATTTTTTAAAAAATCAATGGAGGGCCCTGGCCGGTGTGGCTCAGTGGATAGAGCATCAGCCTGTGGACTGAAGGGTCCCGGGTTCGATTCCCGGTCAAGAGCACAGGCCTGGGTTGTGGGCTCGATCCCCACTCGGGGGCGTGCAGGTGGCGGCCGATCTATGATTCTCTCTCCTCATGGATCTTTCTCTCTCTCCCTCTCCCTTTATCTCTGAAATCAATAAAAATACATTTTTAAAACAAATATATCAATGGAGGAATATCCTCCCAGGAGGATTAACAGCAAGAAACAGACACAAAAATAATACAAAACATAAAAATATGTTTTTATATATTTTATAAAAAAATATTCCAAGTGAGCATGACAGGGTAACCGCTAGTGGAGACAGGTGTCACCACAGGGTTCCCCGGAACTCTGGTTTGGGAAGGAAGACGGTATGGGAGGCTCCCCCATTTCCTGTTGTGTTCCCCCCTCTCTCCGGTCTCTCCCCATATCCATCTATCTATCAATATATGCGTCTGTCTGCCCATCCATCCATCCATCTGTCACCCATCCATCCATTGATTACTTTTAATGATTTATTATTGACTAGAGGCCCGGTGCACGAATTCATGCACAGGGTTGGGTCCCTTGGCCTGGCTGGCGATTGAGGCTGATTGGGATCCGTCTCACCCAGTCCCCATCAGACCCAATGGCCAACCTCC